CGAGGTTAACAAAATGTATTTTGACATTAGATCATCACTATATCAATGAATTTTAGAATTTTACAACAATAAAGACTTGATTGAAGTAAAATAATGCATAACATACGAAATATGAACTTTTTTTTAAACTGTGACAAAATTAACAATGGCCGAACAAAGCTAATATCTATTTATTCATGTCATTTTATGGGGTTCAAATTTTGAAATCTTATTGCCACCGTCCAAAGAATGTGGCCCAAATCTCACGATATTTTTCGGCCCAAAAGTTAATACTGTTCCAAAATAACACGGGCCTCGCTATGAACAATAGCCCAACAGAAGTTGTTTATTTTTATTTATTTTTATATTATTATTATTGATAGTTTGAATAGTGTTTTATTTCGACTAATTCGAGTTTTATAAATTTTTTAAAACTAGATAAAAATATATCTTTACAAAAAATCCCATAGTATTTTTTTTTTTTGGAAATAAATTCCATAATACTTGGTAGCATTTAAGTTGGTCCTTTTGAAGGAAAAAAAGAAGAGAATTTCCAATTTTTCATTACATGATTAAATAATGTATTTTAAAATATATTAGCACATTTATATTCTTAAAAAATAATAATAAATTATGTGATCTTTTATGCATGTGAGACGTTTTTGACTTGGTTTTATTATTTTCATTTTGTTGTTTTGTAAAGAAATTACAAATAGGGCAATAATAAAAATTTATTGCATTAATGGTGGCTGCTTTTTAAATTTATAAAATAAGCTACAACATCTCAAATATTATGTCTAAAAAAGCTACCATATATGTTTTTTTTTTTAAAAGCTATATTTGAAATTACCTTCTTTTCGGAATAAGTGGGCAACTTAAGTCTTATTTAAGTTGTAATGCACGGCAGAAAGTAATTCATGTAATATGAATCAAATTATTTTTTTGTTTATATTATTTCATGTATCACCAACTTTAAGAATATTGTATCACGTTTGATCGGTTATATCAATGTTGTGTAACAAAACTATAAGGTGACTATAATTATTTATTGTTATAGCAAAGATGCTATAGAACGTACACTTTTATATTATAAACTTATTTTATTTTTGATAAAAATAGAAACAATATTATAAATTATAATATATTATACGATAAATTGTATACTATTTTTTTGCTGTTGTAACCTACGACGATTTTAATTTTCTGTTTTTTTTTAATGAAGTGCTTGTTTAAAAAAAAAGTTGTACACTTTTTTTAATTATTTAATTAAATAAAATTTATAACTCAACATATGATAATATATTTCTTAAAACATGGATCTTCAGCACTAATTGACATATATCTCAAATTAAGAGGTTTTGAGTTCGATCCCACATTCCCACATTCCCACATGTTGTACTAAAAAAACTTATCACAATTCTTTCAAATCTACATGAATCGCTCGTTAAATTTTCACTAATCCCAAAACACAAACAAGGGAAAAACAAGGATATCATAACACTTGTCTTTTCAAGATTTATTCTTTTGGACGAATCACATTCCACCATCCCAATAATACATACAAAAATGCTCTATTCTAATAAGAACAAAATGTTGAGCGTAGCTATTTGTTTGTTTGTTTTTTCAAAATTTGCCCCTCAAAGGAATCTCTCTTATGTGTGTGTCTTAATTGGAGAGGTGTCTTGTCTTTCAAAAAGTGGGCTGTGTCCCTCATCATACCATGTCTCCATAAGATTCTCCCAATTGGTTTACTTTGTGAGAGTGACACTCAATACCCTTTCATCATCAAATTTAACCAAAAAAAAAAAAAAAACATTGCAGCTGGTTGTGTTCTTGTTAATAAGTTGACCAATCAACACAACTTTTCAGCATGATTTTTGGTTTCAAATTAAGAAGAAAAAAACATTCATGATATGTTTTTGGGGGCTGTGGTGCTGTAAAATTTGACCATTTTTTCATCATTCTGTCTTCTGCCATGGAGAGGGGTTAAAAATGTTGAAATATGGTGATTTTTTTTTTTTTAACTTTTGCTCATTTTGATTTGATATAAGTGTGTGAAATGTCTTGGGATTATAATCAAGTGCATTTGGAAAAATTCCAATCTGTTTTTGTCATTTCTTTTTAATTAATTAAGAGAGTTCATTGTATTCCTTTTTGTGTAGTGATATGTTTGGAAGTTGTGTTTTAAAATAAAATTTTAGTAAAAATGTTAACAAAATTTGATTTACGGGTAAGGTTTATGTTTCTTTGAAATTAAAAAAAAATTCAGTTCTTTTATTTCCAATTTCTTATTTTTAATTAGAAAATAGAGCTACTTTAGATAACAATTTCTTGTTTCTTATTATTTCTTTTTTATTTAAAAAAGAAACACGTTTCGTAATCATTTCTGATTTTAGGTAAACAAAAGCAAAAATTTTTTATCTTTCAAATTAAACATTCAAATATTTTATGTTATATTTACTTATTCTTTTTAATTTTTATTATGCATTTTAAAAATAAAAAATAATAAAATAATGTCTTTATCTATTTTTTTCCTGAAAAAACAGAAAATAGAAATAAGTAATAAGAAACTTGAATCCCAATACCGTTTCTATTTCTTATTTCTTGTTTCCTCTATTTTGATAAAGAAAGAAATAATTTCATTTGGTAACTCTAGCTCTTCTTCTTCATTTTTTTATCGAAAAAAAGAAGGAAGATTGATTTTGTTGTAAATGAGAATAAGAAAAAAGAAACTTGTTTCTTTTTCCAAAATTTCTATACAATTTTGCGAATGTTTCTTATAAATGAAAAAAAAACATAAATAGTTATCAAATTTTTAAGTTTATCAATAAAACTAGAAATAAGAAACAATAAAAAAAAATGAACATTACTAAATGGGTCATTAACTTTGTTGTTTCCAAAATTGTACATAATTTTAGAAACGTTTAGTGAGAAATGAGATATGGTTCGCTGGGTAACGTTTTCGTTTTTTGTTTTTTGTTTCTAAATTTTGAAAAATATTTTAAAAAGAAAAGAGGCGAAATTTCATAAACTAAAAAAAGTAGTTTAGCAGAAACGTATGCCTTAATTCCATTCCCCCATCTCATTTAAAGTACAAATGCTAATTTTTGTTTTTAATATTTCCTTATAAAAAAACTTCTTTTCTATTTTTAAATTTAAAAGTATTTTGAAATTTTATTTTTATTTAAAGCTGTTATATTTTCTAAAAAAATATATATTTTCTATTTCTTAAATCAAATTAATTTTAATATTTATTATTTATCTAAAGTTAATAATTTAGACTTTTATATCAAAGATATTTATATGGTAAACTATATTTTTTTAACAAATTATATTATTTGAGGTTAAGTTATAGCTTTTTATATTATATCTACTAAATTTTATTTTAACTAAAAATAAAAATAAAAATAAATCAACATAAGTTAAAAATATATCTTCGATCAAGAGGTCGTGAGCTCGAACTCCTACCGCCACAAGTTGTTATACTAAAAAGAATTAAAAATTAAAACAAGAAACCGTAATAGTTATGAACATATTGTTGTTTCTATTTCTTTTTTCAAGTGGTTACCAAACCTATTTTTGTTACTGGTTCTAAAAATTAAGTAACAAAAAAAAAATGGAATACAA